TTTTTCTAATTAAAAAAGTATTAGTAATATTTAAATATTTTTTAAAAATATTAAATTTTTTTTTTTTGTCATACAGCCTAGTGCGGGCAAGAATCTAATATTGTTTCTATTTAACAAGGATCAAAGGATGAAAATAAAGCATGGCATTTAAGCTTCAACATATAGCAGAAGTTGCTTGCTATGTTCCATCAGTCATGTACGAAACTTGATTAAATTAAAAAGATAATTAAAAAATCAAATCATGAAAACAACCTATTAAACTAATTAAAATGTTTTAAAAAATATTCAGTTTTATTTTATTTTAATTTTATAAATTTAAAACTGAAAAACTTTGACCAAACTATTTAATTAAAAATAAATTAAATTGAACTGAAAAAGTAAATCGCATCAAACCAATTCCACTTGAAAGTTAAAAAAACACCTAAAAAAAAGTAAATCGCATCAAACCAATTCCACTAAAAAAACACCTAAAAAATAATATAGTTTTTGGTTTTTAATTTAAAATAATTATATGAAAATTGATTGGTTGAAGTTTAATTTTTAATATAAAATAATTAAATAAAAAAATAATCAATTTGAACTGATTTGAATTTGATTTTTATTTGATTTTGTATACTTTATAAAATTTTAATTTAATTATTTTTATAAATAAAACTCAAACCAAGCAAAAATAATAATAATCACCCTAAATCCTACAGGAAGCCGGATGGTTTTGGAGCTGAACGGACAAAATACAAATATCTTGCGACTTCATGAATAGCATAATGAGTGAGCAAGCACGTGTGTGACTCTGCTTCCACATGTTTAGCAGCTTTTGGAGGCTTAATTACGTGTCGTGGCCGTGCAGAGCTGCATTGGAATAAAGCTCAAGTGGCCAAGTAAATCTGTGCTCGATTGACACATACTCGGCGCAGCACCTGATTTGTGCATTTCTTTTCAGGGAATGGGTGTGGTGGTCTGGGAAGTTACTCTTGTTAATTGGTGGTTCTTTGGGGCCGGAGAAAAGGGCAGAAGATCGACCGCAAAAAGCCAAACAAAACGATGTTATGTCCGAAAAATGAACTGAAAACATAAAGATTGCACGTGTTCCCTTTTTAGCTCGAGCGAGAAGGCTAAAAATTGAGGCATGGTTTGAGGTTTCGGAGGGTGTTATTTCGAAAAGCGACACCTTTCAGAAATAAATAAATAAACTGAAGAAGAATAAGATCTTGAGAAATATAGTTATAAGAACAATGTTTTCTCCATCAATTTCTTTTGAAATAAATATTAAATCCTAAAAACAAACTCCAAACCTTAAGTTATAAATCCAAATTTTATAAAATTGAGAACTAAATCTTAAATTCAACCTTGAAATTCATTTGGGAAATTCCAAGAAGGCGCCATCCTTTGATTCGAGATGTAGAGGAAGAGGAGTTTTCATCGTCGATTCAGCCAGAATTCGAATCAACAATCGCTTCCTTTTACACTTCACAGCAAAATGAATTTTAGTCCAAGAGGGCCATGAGACCTTCATATCTAGCTACTTCCCAGGACAACATTCTACTGCTGGAGGGGATCTAGGCGAGAGATTTTTCAGGTGCTGGCATTGACCTTAGAAGCAATGACGATGCAATCACAGATGTTCTTTTCAGCTCCCGCTGGTGTGTTATCAAAGGGGCTAGGCTAACACTAGTCTGGAAACATTCAGGTAATAGCATTGCCCATGAATTTCAACGTCTAGATTTAGGATTTTGAATTTTGAGTTTAATATCTAGGTTTTGGGATATATTTAATAATTAAGAGAAAACACTGCTAGGACCTGCGTTTTCACTCTAGCTATGCTTCTTTTTTCCTGCGTGTGATTTTAATGTCAGAATATCATGTAACATGGTCGTGTTTATTTAACCTTTGAGCAAGGCCCATTCTGTGTATCTTGTAAACACAAATACCAATCGACGACTTGAAATTCATAATCCTCTTTCTACATGGGTACTAACATTGTAGGCCTGGGCCTGCGATCTAAGCCCACGCATATAAGCGTGGGAAGCCGAGATCTTTTTTTATAGATAGTGAGGAAAGCATCTTTTACCTGCAACATTTTTTGTGGTCGTGAAACTTGTTTTTGGTCATCATCCACTTTGAAAAACCAAATTTAGACCTTTAAAAATTCATTTCCAACCATAAATAAAATTTAATTAGTTTAAAAACTTAAGGAATAAATCAAATTTTAAAATAAACTTCAGAGCTTATCTATTTTTTCTAGTATCATTAAAGATTAAAACATTTTAATTGAGTTCATCTTTCAAAGCTAAATCTATAAACATCAAAGTTTTTTGATGATTTTTTCTCTGTTTTCTTAATTTTAAGGAATTAAAATGTGAAAAAAATAAGTTTTAGAATCAAAATATAATAACCTAAAACAAAAGGGATTCAAGAAGAAAAAATAAAAACATGAGGGATCAAATTAAACTTTTTACATGCCTTTTGCCAAAAAGGGTAGGTTTGTTCATGTTTTGGTTCTTAATTTCTCAATTTTTGTTTTTAACAATAAGATAAAACTCGAAATTAATTGTTAATTTAATGTTAGAATGTCTTATAATATATTATTAAAGCGAGAGAAAACAAATATAAATAGATTAAGTTGACAACATAACTTTAAATAAATATATTAAAAAGAAATAAAGTTAAGTGATGTAAGTATACAAAAAAAAAAGCTGAAGGATCTAAAAAACAATTTAACCTTAACCAACGGGGTGAACATGTTAAGGGATGAACGGTGGTGGATGTATAGCAAAACATCGACCACTTTTATTGGAGTTCTATTTTCTACTTTCTCTTTCTTTTTGTTGGATAGCTTGGTAATCGAGCAGTAGCACCGTAAAATCTCCAAATCAAGCTGAATTCCGAGCTCCGATACGAGCGATTAACACTAAATTAAACCCATCCATTATTTGTCAATCATTAATTATTTATAATCACATCAAAACCGAAATCCAAAACGACAGAAACCCTGAAGCAGTGAATTAGGGTTTTGGATCAGAATGTCGACGGGCGGGGCCAAGGACAGTGAGTTGCAGGTAGTAGCAGCGCCGGAGAAGACAAAACCGGCGCTTCCTCCGCTTCCACTTGCGGCAAGGACGGGATCGACGGCGTTGGTGGAGTACACGGCGCCAGTACTCAAAGAAGAGGAGGAGGACCTAGAGTTGAAGCTTCGAAGAATACTTGAGAATGTGCCAGTTCGAGTTAGTAATACCTCCGGTAGTTCCGCGGGTTCTGGTTCCGGTGATTTTCACCAGGTAATATGATCATTTCTTTTTTAATTTCTAAATTGTAAGCCGAGAAGTTTTTGTGTAATAGTTTTTTCAGTTTGCAACTTTCCAAAGTGTTTTGTATTCGTGTTATATAGATAAGAGTAAATAATAATTGTACTGCAGGATTAAGATTAGGGTTTTATTCGTTTGATATCAGGAGAGATCGATGCTGGATTGATTAACGTTTGTATAGACGAGTATATTCGGTAGAAACTGAATGTGATTTGGAACTTGGTTTTAGGCAGTATCGAGTTAGCAGTCGTTGCCACTAAATGCAATTAACACTGATTCATGCTGATGACCTTTTCCGCCATGACCATAGCGCTTTATATTAGAGATGCATGCCCATGGCGTTGTGACAGTAGTGATCCTGGTGCATAATCTTTGCCCGTGGAATGCTTTGGCTAAACCTCTTCTATTAGAAAAAGGATTCCTCTGCCACTTGTGGTTTGTTGGCACCCACTATAAATCTAGAAAAGCAGGAATACAGATGTCTAAATGCACAGGACATCTTGGTGATCTCAAGAGATCAAAGTAATTGGATTGTAACAGACTGAGGGTTGTATTGAAGTTGTGTTTGGTGTCGTTGAAAGAAGAATCATGCCAGGTTAAACTTATCTTATAATACCATGTTCTTTTGTATCATCTGTGTACTCAATGTTTAACATTTATTATATATGTTAATCGGTGAAGCAGGAAAACATGCGTGTTTTGTGTGTGAATATCCATGTCTGCATATATTCGTCTCACAATTTTGTTTTTTGGTTTTTTTAATTTTTTGGGTCACAACAGTATCGTCAAATGAGACGGAGAGAGCAAGACAGGCTTGCAAGGATGGATGCTGATTACCAGAGAAGGAAAGAGTTAGCTGAATTTAATATGAGGAGAGAGGAAAGGATGAAGGCTGCTGAGGAACAAACAGAGAAAAAGCGTTTGAAAAGGCAGAGGAAAAAGCAAAGGAAAAAGGAGAAGAAGATGAAACCAAATGCTGGTGGAGAAGAGTGCCGGAGAGAAGATGACGAGGACTCTGATGATGTTGGCGATGAAACAGGAAACTAAACACGCTTTTACCTTATCGTTTTAGTCTAAGCTTAGGTTCAAGCTTGATTCCTGCCGGAATCTTTAGGCAATGACTTCAATCAGCTTTCTAGTTGTTATGCTCGAACTTCCTAATTATTCAAGTCAGATTCCCTTGTTTGTAACCGGTGAAGTAGTGCCTCTCCATAGAGAGATGTAACTGGACAAGGAAAGAGTCAACTTTGATTGATGCATCCTGAAGGGCCTCGTCTTGTTGATTGTATTCCATCATCAGAGTGCCGGGTAAACATATAAGATGAAAGTTCATCATTGCCAAGCAGGTTTTTTATTGTGAAGCACTTGTGTTATTTTGAATGAGCGAGTTAACTAGTTAATGCCCAAGAATTCAATTGCAACAAAATTCCTAATCGGCCCCTTTTCTACCGTAATTTAGACACCCAACGAGCAAGCAGGAATTATTTTTCAAAGGCCAGACATCAGCACTAATCAGCACGCATACCAAAACTAATTAGTTCATTCAACTCAGATGATAAGCTACAGATAAAGGGAGGCATTACCAGTAGCATATTTACCGTGAAAACGTTACTTTAGAAATAAATGACTTCCAATAAACCCTGCCGGAAGTAATGACTAAAGTTAGCTAGAAAGTGATGTTACGCAACGATATCTTTAAAGTAAAACCTTAATGCCTGGGCTGATTCCATTTTGACCCAGCCCAGTTCTACATCGTCCAGTCCTCAGAGGACGTTATGAGCTAGATTTTGCGTCGGTTTCCACCGTTTGGTATTTTATAGTATTCTCTCCAACACACTTCCTCTATCAGTCAACTCATCGATCGATTTCTGAATTAGCTACCTCTAAAATTGAATCACAATGGGCGAGTCCGTCACCCATCGTCGCATCTCCGTCCATCAAGCTCTTGGCGGCGGCCCAGGTATGCGTTCACCTGCACGTATACACGTATTTATGCATGTATAGGAATACTGGTGTGCATCAAAACCATATACCTTCCTCGATCATTTTGATTCTAAATAGATCTGAATATTTTTTAAATCAACTTATAATCTTGATTTTAATGTTAAGTATTGGTGTTAAATGTGTAGTGGCTGATGTATTGTTATGGAAGAGATGGTACGCAAGCGTTGGTGTTTTAGTGTCTGCGACAACTCTGTGGATCTTATTTGAGAAAGCTGGTTACAATTTATTATCTTTTGTGGCTAACGTGTTGTTCCTTCTTGTTGTTATTCTCTTCTTTTGGGCTAAATCTGCTTCGCTTCTCAATCGGTAATTAATTTATGCTTTTTTGCACCTTTTTAAATGCTCGCGATTTTATTTGTCTAAATCTTTTTTGTGGTTATTGATTTCGCATGTGAAATTCTAACACATTTCACAATTTTTTATTGGTATAAATTCTTAGTTATGGATGTTGTTTTGTCTTAATTTTTTTGATGGATTACATGCATCAAAGAGAGATGTTTCATTGATAATTTTTACATTTCAATTTTATTTACTGATTTTCAGTTACTGTTTGCTGTTTTGGGTGACGAAATCTGGATTTGTGTGCATGTGTGGTTTTGGATTCTAGGAATGAATATTTATTAGTAGTTGTGATTTAGGCCATTCCCTCCACTTCCAAATTTGGAAATTCCCGAGGAGATTGTTGCCAAGGCTGCTGGTATTATTCACGTGTATGCCAATTATGCATTGTCGATTGCACGTGAAATCGTGATTGATAAGAATTTCAAGGTTTTCCTCAAGGTTAGTACCCATTTCTATCTTTCCACGAAAGAATTAGCTATAATTTTGTTGATCGCAAGAGGGTGGAATTTATATGTGTGATGCACATGTGGTTCTGCAGGTTGTTTCTGGTTTCTGTGTAGCATCTTATATCGGTAGTCTCTGCAACTTCCTAACTCTTGTCTACATTGGTGAGTTTTTTATTGCTTATTGTGTTTTCTTAATCGGTCCATTATATGAGGGCAGGCATTAGTTCATTATATTTGATTACATCTACAGGGGTTCTTCTTAGTCTCTCAGTTCCTTTGGTATATGACAAGTACCAGCACCACATTGATGAAAAGTTTTGTTTAACCCATAAAATAATTCAAGAACAGTATAAGAAAATTGATGATGCCATATTGAAGAAGATTCCATTGCCATCAAACAAGGAAAAGAAGACACAGTAGGTAAGTTGCTGCCTCTGTCTCTCTCGTAAATATAGACTAAAGTAGGAAGAATTTTATTGGTAAGCATTTATGATTCCATGTCTAAATAGTGCACATCTGACTGAGATTATCCAAAGCATGCTGTGGCCTTTATTATGTTTGAAATTTTGATGTCATTGGTGCAATCTCAATGTCATTATTGTTGAGACTATAATGATTTTGCTAATGTTGTGGAAGGATACATGACTGATTAGGCAACATGATGAAGGCTCTGGTAGAGTATTTGTAACAAAAATCTGATAATTTACCTCCAATAGGTTAGAAGTCTTCATTATAAATGGGCTGCAGTTAGGCTGCTTATGACAAGGGCATCTTGAGTATATGGTACTTTTATGTTGAGGATCTGTTAGCTTGTGCGTAAAATGAACATTACATCTCTGCCACATTGGATGCGTGTTGAAGAGAAACATGCTCCTTTGCTGTCTTAGTTGCTTTTTATTTTTGTGTGAATTATAAATAACATGCTTGGCACACTTTTGCTTGAAATTTGCTGGAAATTGTCACCATGGTGAGACTAACCTGTGATTTAACATGTCGATAGATTAATGGACTTGCCTTAGTATAGTTTTTTTCGTCTTTGAGACTTCCTTGGAATATCCTTTTCCATAAGAAATTGAGTTTTCATGAGTGTTGCAACGAGGAGGTGAATTAGCACAGATCATACTGAAATTTGCCAGTACATGGGTCTCCAAGATTCTTGCATTCAGGATTATTATTAAGGAGTCTGTTGAACAAATGTACTATTACAAATATTGTTCTCCAAATTTGCTTTCTCTGGTGAAAGTTATCCGGATTGTATTTTCATCTTATGTTGATTCACTGGCCTTCCTCCCATCTGGCCGCTTATTTCAGCATTGTTTACTTTGACCTTCCCTGTAACTATCTCCACACGAACAGCCTTGGTAGGCAGGATGAATGCCCTAGGTTGTCAATTTATCAGCATGCTACCTTCATCTTGCTCATCAATTTGCTTCCTTTATCTGTTACATGGATATCCATATACTGCATTTCTAGTCAGAATTAAAACCATTTTGGACAAACTCAATTCATACTGGATGGATCTGGTCACTGGTGGTTTACTCTGTCCTCTGTCTCTCTGGCTTTTGTTCGTTGAACAATTTTGAGTAAACTTTGGATACAGGGTTTCAAGTTGTTCAGCAGGCAGTGACAAGTCGCATGGTGAATGGATTTTCAGCATATGAAGCTGTTGAGGGGTGATTTTTCTTTCTGGTTGGGATGCGGTCAATATTAGCATAGAACATCAGCTACTCATGGTAGTTTTTTAGGAGCAGAACTAACCTTAATACCACGAATGACGAGCAGTAGATTTTTCATTATTTTTTATCTGCAGAAAAGCCATTGTTTTGATTCTCGTGATCTGTAATTTTGTCAGTCCTTGCTGTTGTTTTTATTTCTTACTATTTCATTCCCACTGGATTATGTTCTCCGATTGTGGAGAGGAACTAGCTTTTGATAATGGAAGTCTATGATAGCCATGTTTTTTACTTCCTTCTTTGAAGAGCAAGTAAGCTTCTTGGTCTGTGTTCATATTGACTGGCGCGGTATTATCATAGCTTTGTGCTTGTTTAATCGCTTCAACTTTTTACGTTTTTACCGTGCTGCTCGCTTCCTCTACCCCCTCCAGTTGTCGACATAACAGGTATTGGGCCTGTCATTTTACTGCGTTGATTCACCTGGTCTTCCGACCTTCTTTCCTAGAACACAAACCATCTTTTTTTCTTTTTTTCATAAACAAAGGTTTTTTTTTATTAAATTCAACTTTACGATTGCAAGCGTGACGCGCGGATCTACCACCTTCCAACCTGTTTGCATTTCCTTTAACAATTGAATTGAAGAACAGCATCCCAGACAAGTCCAAATGTATTGCTTCATCGAACTTCTTAAAGTTGCTTCTTCTGAATACACACAATTGCATGCTCCTATGCTGCTTCCACGACATAATAACAAGGGCAAAATTCTCTGTTATGCAACTACCGTACCATAGAAACAGGTTTTTAACCTCCCTTGTTACTCTGTTGCTGGTGGATGTTATTACGCTTAAGTGTAGAGAGGATTGATTTATACCACGAGATCAATTGCAAGTGCTTGAGGTTTTGGAATCAATCAAATTTCGGTGGAACGGTAGGCTACAAATTATCACTATGAGAATTGCGCGCATTTCGTAGTATCATGCAGAAGTTTTAAAATCACTATCTTCAACCTCGGCTACGATATCATGCAGAAGAAGCTTATGCCACCTTAAAGACTGGAATATTTTCTGATGGTGGAAGTGTCACTGAGCGTAAAAGTTCCAAGGAGAATACAAGCCCCAGGAAGTGAGAAAGGATGGTGTTCGCTGATGCCTGCACAAGAGAAATGGTGAGGACTGCTATCAATCAAATAACTGGGACCAAAATGTTTACCCCAATTAAAAGCTATCATTGATTTATCCGAGAACTGAACACAGATGTTGGTTAAAAGAACAACACTTTAGTAAATTGATAGAAGGTAAAAAATTTTACTTCTTCCATCGTATAGGCAAATATTGAAGTTACCCTTTTTATCCTCATTGATTCATTTGTTGATTTATTTGGCTGAGAGCATAAATGCTAAAACTGATAAAGCTACAGTGACTTCGATAATAACACAAAGTGTGATTTCTTAACCTAACTCCTACCACGAGTCTAGTCAGCAGAACTTTAAAATATGATAGTAATTAGATCTGTATAATATTTACCTGCACCAAAAACACATCCAATGCAAGAACTGGACTGTAACCAGGAGAGATTTGCTGGTAATAAGGATTTGCAGAAGAGGTTAGGGCCTTCCCAACCAACAATCCAACTGTGGCTTGCATCCCAAGAATGGCAGCACCCATTCCCAACAAATTCACTATTATGCCATTTTTCAAGCTTTTCACAACATCAGCACGAGGCGGTGCCTGAAAATATAAACAATAAACAAAGCACCAAGCATAGAAAAAATATTTTAGAATTATGTAAACAATATATATCTGGTTATTTAACTTCAGCAAAGAGTCTTTGAGTAACAGTATGACAATCAAAGGAGCCACTTCATGTGTGCTTAATTCTACCACCATATTTAGACCACATCGTCCTCACGAGAACCTAATGCGATCCACATTTCGTATGGTTTTCTATTTTTCTTGTTTCTTTTAACAGGCGTGAAAAGCTGTAGAACCCAAGCCCAACAAACACTAGCAGTTTACTATTCATGATCTTCTGCACCTCAATGGTATGGAGTTCATCTTAATTATGTAGTCCAATGACTCGCATGAATAAAGAAGAAAAATCACATAGATAGATAGATGGGAAGCAAAGACAAAGGATACAAGATGAGTCAACAAATACAAGCTGCATGAAACTCCCTTCAAGAGATTCTCGTTGACAAACTAAACCTCCCCAGTCATTTTTAAACTACAAGGACTATTTGTAGATATAAAAATGGGATCCAGACTCTAATTGCCTCTTATCATTCTTCTCTTTAAGAGAAAAAAATATCAAGGAAAATATTTGCTAAATTTGAATGTCCACTTATCACAATATCCCATGCCCCAGCATTGTGAAACCAACCATTAAGTTTGTTACTTCAACATTGGACTTCACATTAAATTACCGCAAATGGCATTAGAAGGAAACAATGTCTCCATTTCCATAAAGCGCCATATTACCAATTAATTCTTTGGCATACAGAAACAACAAGATTCTCTCATGTAAACCCACTGACTTCATCATGCACAAGTTGTACAAACTGCGAATAGCATAAACAATGTAATTTGCCCAAGGTTAAAGAGCACAATCAAATTCTTAAACAGACTGCCAGGTTATTTCTGTCAAACAACCAGTAAACAAATGGGGCATGCTCATGTTTGTTTTAGCAACTCTACTTATTGATAGTTAGTGTGTTGCAACTTCCTCCCTTTCTTCGTAGTAATTATAATATGACAAGTAATTGCACGGTCCTATTCGGCATTGAGTTTGCAACTACATTTCAAAAGTGTTTTTGCCTTGAAAATACATAAAATTGATTTTTTTTATAGTGCTTTCTAATAATTTTAATGTGCTGATATAAAAAAAATTATTTTGATGCATTTTCAAACTAAAAACACTTTTGAAAAGAACCTAAAAATAGAAGCTATCACTTTCTCAAATGGGCATTTTTATAAGAACCTAAAAATAGAAGCTATCACTTTCCCAAATGGGCATTTTTATAAGAACTTTCATTTCCTCTTCTCTTTCTTTATCGAAATTTCACTGTCTACTTTGAATCTCTAAATTCATCATTCAAAAACTATTCAAGACCGAATGGACAAGACATATGGCCCAGGATTAGGCCTAAGGCCAAGTGGCCCATTAAGGAACGAGCCCAGTCCAAGGCTTCACGTCCAGATGTGTCACCGATAAGGGGTGGCTAGCCCGGACACGGGATGACCATGAGGGTTGAAATTATGAAAAATAATAGGCTCTCACAACATGCAAGTAGCTCTCACAATGGTACATTGCTTGCCCATTTTAAAGGACACATGGCACTCCCACCTTAATCTACCTCATGCAGGGAGGACCGTACAAGTGACAGTTGTACCCAAAGCAAAATCTCCTCCTGATACTTTCGACGGGCCACGGATCATCACGAATGGGCCTACCATAAACATAGGTACACAATGAGGCTTGTTTTGCAAGTATTATGACTCTTGCTCAATTTGGCAGCCCACATTTGAGGCCAGTCATCAAGCTCATCATGTTACCAAATCCAAAAGACCTCAACACGAGAGGAGACCTCATAAAAAACAATCATTCCTAATACAAATGACAACTAAAACAATCATTCAGAATACAAATGACGACTGAATAAGTAAAATGTCCTTTCCAATGATTAAGTTAAAAATCCTTGGAAACAACCATTATTCAGAACGATCAAAATAAACACTGTTTATGATTGCGAATAACACATAGTAAAAAACCTAAAACAGTATGTATACATACCTTGGAAGGATCATTGGCAGTTTTTCGGAGCTTCTCAGAAAGCCGGATGTACCCAAATGACCAGAAAACAGAAATGAATGCAGCTGCAATGCCACCAAGAGTAGCATAAAAAGTGGGAGGCGAAGTGATCTTCCCAGTGAAAGCCACAGAAAAGGAAAGAATCACAGCTGCCACTGTACTACATATTAGCTGCCCCCAAAATCCTAAACTACCCAACCGCTTAAAATACCTTGATGTATTCTCTAATCTCTTAGCCACCTGCACACACAATAACAATAATCTTACTCTAGTCTCCACAACAGTTCCCACATTTTTCTTGGTAACCAAATATAAAAATTAGCAACCAAGAACGGAAACTAAAATGACAATTAGAAAACCGTTTTAAAGCAGCTACTTTCCTCAACTCAAGTCTCATATTCACTAAAAGTTGCATTTCGCATCGATTTCTCTTCATTCCCATCATCTCTTAGAAGTCAAACAGACAAATTACCACACAAGAAGCAAAACGAAAATGACATTTAAAAATTAAAATCCCATATGAAAGGCAGCTCCTTTTTTTAGACATGTTAATGGGTTTCCAAAATAATGCATGTATTGCCCCCAATCCAAGCGAAGAGAAATTAGTGCATAAAACAAAAATAACATCAAGAGAAAACAAAAACCCTTATAAAAGACAGTTCCTTTTCTTTTACTACACAAATGGATGGCCACACAACAATGTGAGTTGGTAAATTAGACTTAAAATTCTAATGTAACTTTCTTTTAGAAATCTTGAGCAAAGAATTTGGAGAGGGTTTGAACCTGAGCGAGTTTTGCCCTTTCTGCCTCGTCGTTTTGGGAATTGAAAGCAGGAGCAGTGGCATTAGAAGCGTTTGTTTGGGTAAATAATTTTTTTGGTGTTTTGTTCCTAAGATGATCATAACTTAATAATGAGCTAATGTAAGAGAATGATGGGAGAGGTTGTGTGGATTTGTGAAAGATTAGGATGGAGTTTGGAGGAGGGAGGAGAGGTAGGGGTTTTACACAGTGGATAAGGGGAGGCGTTGGAACCGCCGCCATGGATGCAGCCTGGCCGGTGCGAACTGCCGGTATAAGCAGCGTTTGCATTTTTCCCGAAAGTGTGAGCGGAGTAGGCTAGTTCGAGACGATGGACTCCTAAATAAGAATCAATTTTTTTATATGAGCTGCATCTCGTTTAATAAGGTCATGTAAGAAGCTTGTCGTGCGACTATCTGTCGTCCATGTACTAAAAAACAATGTGTCGTCAGATGTGTAGACGACACTCGTCTTACTTGGATTCTTATTAATCTCAACTAATAGAGGAGGGAATTCATTTTTCCTTCTCACAAAAGTTTTTTTTTTCAATTTTTCAATTTATTCTTCAATAGATTTATTTATTATGGTTTAATTATTCTGGTTATAGATTTAATAAATTAAATACGATTAATTCAAGTTATTTTTTTATTTGTTTATGTTTAAATTTTTTTAGATCAATTAAATTAATTGTGT